AATTTAATTTTTTTCATTATTGAGATAAAAAAAATTATTTATTAAATATTGAAATTTAATTTTTTTATATTTGGGGGCAAATTGATTTTTAAGATATAGTTTGAGGGGGTAAAATGAAATTCTAAATGAACTTTGATATCACGCCAGCACAGTAAGGGCATGTTTGATTGGGTGGATTAGAGCGTAGGATTGGGATTATTAATCCGTGGGCCCAATCATCCTATGTTTGTTTTGACATTTTAGTTTAGGATTATTAATCCAATGGATAATTAATCCAACAAATTTGTAGGATTATTAGTAATGAGGTAGGGGTGGGATAACTAATACCACACTAATTTAATAGGATTATTAATACCTCACTATTAGTGTTGTGAATCAAACATGGCCTAAGGAGGTTCGGATTAACCTACAACGAGTGGCAACTTAGGCAACAAAATAATTAGTGCCTAGTAACACCCGCACTAATTATAATTGAAAAATGTTATGACAACTCTTTGGAAGATATGCTAATATTAATAAATTGTGAAAGATGCATTGAAATATATATTAAAAAAAATATTAAAATGTGTTAGATGATAACTCCACAAAGAAGCAATAATCAACATTATACTAATTTTTCGCAGCCATTGAAGACTCTTGTGGTGATCCATAATAACACAATTTACACATATTCCAATTAACACTCTAACGCTGTATTTGATTGGAGAATTTAAAAAACAGTTTGAAAAGAGAAAGAGAAAAGGTAGGTGGAATGAAAATAAAATATACTTACATTTTACTTAATTTTGCATACATTTTCCCTTTCTATTTCCAAATCAATTTTCAAATCTCTCAACTAACCACAACATAAAAGACCCATATATGCATGGTCTAACTCCCCAAGCTATTCCCTCAAGGAATAAAAAAAAAATAAAATTTAAAGTGTAGTTTGATTGGGGGGCCACATTTGAGCGCACACAGTTATCAAAACACTTATTTTAAGTGCATTTGCCTCCGTTTGAGAAGTGGGTTGTCTTTTTAATTTTTTGGCTTTTTTAACTATTTTAGTCTGGACTAAAAATTTTGGTTTGGGAAGGACTTTTTGACTTTTGGACTTTTTTTGACTTTTTTTTTTTAGAGAAGAGTGTAATGATTATGGGTTGGATGTGATATTTTGTTTGTTGCGGCTAAAATAGCATATTTTATTTTTTGTGACTAAAATAGCCAAAAAAGCGTGGAAACCTTCTTCCCAAACGGTTCTAAAGACCAAAAATTAAGAATTCAGAAGAAAAAAAAAATCATACAAAATGATGTGTGACTTAAAGTCTCGTTTGTCTGGCGAATTAGATTAGATGAGATTATAAGTATGGTAGAATTGAGTGAGAAAATTATTAGTGTGCTAATATAGGATAAAATGTATTTTTTGTATACTAGTGTGTGGTATTAGATGGTTGAGATTAAATTTATACAATTACGCAAAAGTTCTCATTGTATAGAAAGTAACCTTATTATTTTTCTAATATGGGGGCAAAATTGCCTTTTCACATCCAATCCCATGTAACTCGATTAGCAATCCCAGGACTCCCATAGGATAGCTAATCCTACCATGTGGGGGGATTTAGGGGTCAGCATGGTCCAATAATTGGATCGGTTTTGGATGAAATTACATAAAAATTGAAACTAAACCAAATCGTTAACCTCATGGAACCGATTAAACGAAACTATTTAAACACGGTTTAGTTTGGTTTGGAACTACGGTTTCACATAATCTATTCATACGAAAAATTATATAACATTTTCAAAAAAATTCAAAAGATCATAAATTTTAAAAATAATAATAACTTGCCCCATCAAACAAACTACTTTAATAATATTCCCTAGTTAAGCAAAAGCATAACATTAAGCAAACATTGTTCAACATGAATCTGTTATGATTTTTTGAAACATATACTTTCAAAACATAAAGGTGCACATTGCTCTACCATTAACTTAAACAAAAATAATATCTACCAAATAAATATATATGGTTTAAGTTGTACGGCCCGATTCGGTTCGGTTCAGTTCAAATTTGGAACCATGGACCTAAATTAAGAACCAATCTGTAGAGACGGTTCCCTAATTTTCTAAACCAAGACCAAATCACAAATTAAGAAAACCAAACCAAACTTACAGGATTGGTCTGGATCGGTTCGATTTGCATTTTGATGTCCTTGCTCAGCCCTAGGAGAATTAATGGTCTAAATAAGTATAATTTTTAACTTTCTATGAAAAAATGTGTAAAAAAATAGAAAGGTAATGTGACCAAAAAAAAAAAAAAGATAAAAAAAGTATGCTTTTGTAGGAGATGCCAAATAGTGCCGCATTTTTGTCAACTAAATATGAGTTATGTAAGCTCCATAGGATTGCTAGTCTAATCCCCCTCACCTATGGAGCCAATCAAAGATAGCTTGAATTCGTTTTAGAAAAATGTCTCGTAACTCAAATTTTGTGGCTCAAAAGTGGCTCAAATGGCCAAAACGTTATGTTGTTCTGTACTCAAAACGACGTCGTTTTGGCCATTTTTATGTTGTTCTGTACTCAAAACGACGTCGTTTTGGCCATTTGAGCCACTTTTGAGCCATAAAATTTGAGTTACGTAGCATTGTCGTTCATTTTAGGCATGCATTTGGAAAGATTGAATTTTAGTCAAAATATTAAAAAATCATTAAAAAAATAAGAAAAGTGAAAAAGTCATATTAAAAAAAAATCGAAGATTCCTTCCATTCTTTTCACTTTTTTGTACGTTTTTTCATTTAAAAAAAAAAAAAAAAAAGTCATTCTCAAAAGTTTCAATTTTTTTCACTTTATATTTAAGTCAAAAAGTTACGAATAGACTTTTTAGTAACTTTTTTAATTTTTTATAAAAAGATGTGTAAAGATTAAAGAGAATAAGTTGACATTTTATATAAATTTTTAATTTTTTTGAACTATTTTAACCAATTATCAAACATCGTTAAGTGTGGATTCCACTATACAAAATTAAATTTGAACCATATTTTCTTTTTTAATATTTTTTTATATTTGAATTTTTGATATCTAACATTAGCCCGTAAACTAATGATTCAACACAGTCGCATCCTTTGATTTGGTTGATGTTTTGGTACAAATCATATACTAATATATACAAAGCGGCATTCTTTTTTTTTTTTTTTCTTTTTATCGGTAAAAGAACTTTATTGAATAAGAATCAAGGAAAAATCTTACATCAAACATTAATAAAGAAGAAAACCTAGTAGTGCTATAAGTATTCTTAACAATGCTTATTCCATATAACTAAATCTCTTCTTCTTCTTTTTTTTATCAGCAAAAATGAATTTTATTAATGAATACTGTAGAACACCATGCATCAATAAAAATTTTTTTTTGAATACACAAGCATCATAATAAAGGAATATGATCCCAACTAAATGCGCACCATTATAACTAAACCTCTTCAATAGTCAAAGTAAACAGCCCCCTCTTAATCATGAAATGATGTAATCTGTTTGAAACTCTTAAGCCATGTAGAGCAAGCCGAAAGCTATTGATCATAGAGGTGAATGAATAAGAAATGAACACATGCATTGAATTTTGACCACACACTTTGCAAAATCATTAATGGTCTATCTGACTTTGTAAAAATACTCATCTCAAAAGTCAATTTTTGAAATTTTTGAATCACTAGGTTGAAACTTTATTTTTTTAACACTAGAATAATACTTCCTGTTCAAATATCATTTATTTATGAAAAATGAGTGGGAGCACTAATTAGTGCCACCACCAATGATGTGGTAGTGGGTCCCACCCACTGTCACAATGTTGTTGTGTCTGTTTTTTTTTTTTTTTTTTTTTTTTTTTTAAAAAGAAGGTAAATGTTTTTTTTTAAAAAAAAAAGAGGTAAATGCCACATCGTTAGTGGTTGCTTTAGAGCACCACCTTTAGTGGTCTCTAGCATTGCCCTTTATTTATATATGTGTTATCTATTTGTCCACTTTATCACCACCAATTGTCATTGTTGATCACCGCCGACATTTTTTTGGCTTTGACATCTTTTTATGAAATGTTCTTATCACATAAAAAAGATTAATCCTCAAATTTGATATCATATTCCTTCTAAATATGGATTTGTCACCAATAAACCCTTTTTTAAACAATTTTTTGAATTTTTTTTTAATAAACCCTTTGATATCATATTTCAAGCTTTTTCTAACTTACTCAAACAATCATAAGCATTTCAGCAAATCCCTCTCCTTATAAATAACTCCAAGCCAAACCCCTGCAATGTCCAAACAGAGGTAAGAAAGCATGGAAGCAAACAGAGCTAGTGTCTTAGTTTTACTCCTTGTGTGTGGTACGTATGCTATACTCCTCCTCTCCGTTTGTTCTATTTTCATGACTTACTGATTTGTAGTTTCTCTTTGTTCCGATAAACTTTTTAATTGTAATTAACTATGTGCATGTTTTTAATAAAATTTTCACTATGCTGATAAAAAAACTATGAGCATGTTATGCAAAAATCATAGCTAATTAGTTTAGTTCACAACATCTGCTGCTAATATCATGATTTCGTCGTCACATCCTGTTATTTTCAGCACGAATCACGATATATCGCTCTGTAACAATGCTGTTCTGTTTTTACAAAAAAAAATGTTTTGGGTGTTTTGGATGCTGACAGGCATATTTCTATTGGAGTACAGCACAGCCGAAGCTTGCCCTCTGTATTGTTTGGAAGCAGACTACATGATATGCGAGTCATCAGGCAGTCAGAGGCTCAGTCCGGCATGCAACTGTTGCTTGGCAGGGAAGGGTTGCACCATTTACTTCAATGATGGAACCTCTGAAACCTGCTAATGCTACAACATTGCACCCTCCTTATATATATATATATAAATAATAAGCCTACAATCAAGTGTAGTTTGTCTCTTCATAATGGTGTGTTTTGCCATCATTCTCCAAAACACTATGTTACAAGAATCTTAGTTCAAAACAAAACATAAATGTGTACTAAAATACCAAGTGTACTCTCTCTTTTGTAATAAAAAATAGTTGTACCTCTGTGCGACAAATATATATAGATGTCTATGCATCTTTCATATCCATTCATGGTTTCATGAGTTCCAATTCCAAATTAGTGAATGTTTAAGGTCGTGTTTAGATGGTAGATTTGATAAGGGAAATGAAAATGAAAAAGGAAATAAAATCGCACTTTTTGTTTCGTTATATTGGAAAATAGAGGGGAAAGGAAAGTGAGAGAGAAATGAAAGAAGAAATGTTAGGTTTTTATTATTGGCAATTCCGTTTGACAAAATTCTTTTTAGTTGTAATTGTATTCGATCTTTTATTTCAGTGAGGTTATGAGTTTTTAGATGCGAATCCAACCCGAATTGTGCCTTTCAGAGATGTTTCACAAGTTAATTCTTTCATGTTTGCCACTTCACCGACTATGTCGGGGATCGAACGGAGAATTTTTGGTTCTAGAAATTTGAATTGTCTATAAAAATAAACAATCATTTCTGAGCTTCCATAATGACCACACCACTGTAATAGGAATTACATTCTAGATCCTGAGCTCTTTCTTTCTGAACTTGAAGCCAAACCACCAATGAAACAACTCATTTACAGTGCCAAGGGAAACCCATTGAGTTCCCCACCAATCAAGTACAACAGACCATATCTTCCAAGCAAATGGATAGAGCAACAGAATATGATTAAGATTTTCAGGCTCAAAATTACAAAACAAACACATGGGATTACAAGTACCCTATAACACATCAATCCTTTGAAGGAAATCAGCAGTCTTAAGTTTACCTCTCCACACCAACCAAAACAGAAATTTAGCTTTTGGAGGAGCTACATTGTTCCAAATAAATTTTGATAACTCCACAACATGACCCTCATCAGCCTGATGCCACCCATACAATGATCTGACTTAAAAGATCCCAGAGGGAGATGCCAACCATCTGATATGATCTTGTAGCTCGACTTTTTCGCGCCCCCCATTTCGAGAGGTCCGAAATATAGCCCTACAATTCAGACTCCCGCGGTTCTGAATCTAATCTCACAAGTACAATGTGAAATTGATAAACACCAAATAGTCTAAATCCAACAAATCTTTTTGAAAATCGATTTTGAATCAAATTGCCAAAAATGGACTGCTTTGCCAGACACAGAGTTGCCACCTAAATATTTTTGAAAAATTTAGGAAACCCATCACTCGTGCCAAAGGCCACGTGTCCGTCATCACTAAGATTGTCTCGGCTCGGGAACTTAGGTACGAGAGGGGAAGGTCATGAATACATTTGAGCACCCCTGCTCGCCCGATCAAACATCGGCCTCTACTAATCATGATATGAATCTTATGTACATTATATGCTCTTGTTTCGATTTATTAGGTTAGCATTACAATGTGATGTGCACACACACAAGTATAGACTAACTTTGCAAGAATTAGAACATTTCGAGTCATGTTTGTTTTGAAAATTGTTTCGAAATATGTACCACTTGAAAAAGTGATCGCATATGAATATTACTCAAATTATTCCAATTTAAGCAATTAGCCTTCATCCACAAGCATTCAAACAGTTATAACATTTAAACATTTAGCCTCATGGCAAACATGCTAGACATGGCAACAATCACACACATGCGATATACTAAAGCGAGTAAAGGCTCACCTAGTACTCCAAACCAAAAGAGAAATGAGTTAGAAAAATGCATGATTCCTAACTTATGCAATATGATTGATGCAACACATGCGATATGCAATTAATAGGCTCGGCTACTAATATGGCATATGAATCAATGAAATAGAATGTGATCTAAGCATATATTTAAAGAAGTGTAAGCAATAACAATGCAGTTAGAATGATGAACCGAGCCTCGGTGCATGCAATACAAATGGATGCAAACATAAATATGTTGGAAATGGTGGAAAAAATTCTGGGTAAAACCAGAATTTTTCCTCAAGTTTACCCAGAATTTTTCCTCAAGTTTGGTCTATTTTTTAGGTGGGCCTCGAGTGTCGATTTACTCGGGTCAAAGTGGTAACGCGTTCTATGCCGCGTTGTGATTCATGTGGTATATTTGGTTGTTCAAAACCATTACCGAGTGAATGGAAAATTGAAGCCAAAGTGTGCTCCATGGAAATGGAGTTTTGGTGGAAATTCCTTAAGGTTGTAAATTGGTTTGTCCCACATTGATTTGGTGGGAAGTTTTGAAAGGGTTTATAAGGCTTAGGGTGAGATACTTGGGGTGTGCCCCAAGGGGTACCCAAGTGTTTCAGAGGGAGAGGTTATGGGCAAAATGGGCTAGACCCATTAGACCCAAAAATCACCACACGCGCGCGCCGCCGTCCGGTTGGGTTGGGCTTCTAATCTTTTTGGGCCAAAAACATTTGAATTTAATTTTATTTTTTATTAAAATAAAATCCAGAATTCAAATTAAATTGGTTTGAATTTTTTGTTCATCCAAACAGAGCCCTTCCCGTTTTCAAACAGAATTAAACTGATTTGGATTTATTGCTCATCCAAACAGAGCCCTTCCCGTTTTGTTATATGTTTGAATTCAAAACCAACAGGTATCATACCTGTTCAATTCAAAACCAAGAGCCACATACCTGTTCAATTCAAAACCAAGAGCCACCTTCACATCTATAAATAGGACCACCCTCATTTGATGTTTTTTATTATTCAGAAATTTCGTATTTCACTTCTGCTATTTATATTCTTCATCTTGCTGCATTTTATTTCCGAAAAAAAGAGTGTAAACACTTAGTGTGTTCGTAAGGCAAACAATTTGTAGTGCTGCTATTGTTTGTAGTAGATCATTTTATCCTGGGAGATAGACGTCCAAATTCTGAAAGCACCGTGGAGAGGACGAATCTGTCTTAAGGACACAGTGTTAAACACTGGACTTGATCAGAAATATTATTATTCATATAAATTAACCAAGTAAGTTGTTTAATTTAATTCTGTTTTTATTTGTTTATTTAATCAGATTTTAATTTTGTTTTTGTAACAAAATAAAATCTGTGGTTTTATTTTTTTATTTTTATTTTTGAGTTTGATTTTTGTAATCAAACATATTCTCTCTTTTTTCTTTATTTCTTTAAATTCTAATTGTTGTTGTGTACACAATAGAATTAAATCTTTTAAATACAGTGAAGATTGTCCAACAAAATATGCTAATCGAAACATGATGTCCCTAAACTAACCATCACAAGCTAGTAAATAAAAGGGAGAAAAACATGGGGTTGGAAGACATACACATTATTACAATATTGCGCTCTCATGAATGAGAGTCCGAATAAAATAACTAGCTAATTAACTAACTAATTAAAGCTAATTATTACAAAACAAATGAAATTAACTAACTACTTAACTAATTATTACAACAACAAATGAATCAACTAATTATTCTAGTTAATTAAATTACAACACTTGAACAAAATTAATTAGTTACAATTAATTAATTACAACAAATATTTAATCTAAATATTTAAACTTTAAATAAGCTCAGAATGCGAAGGATGCTTATGCACGTGCTCGGTTTGAACTCGAAATGCCATTGTTTTGCTTCCGGAGAGCCTTTGTTGCACAGTGAACACATACATTGTGGCCCACTTCCAGAATAACTCTACTTTGCCTAAAGAACACACTGTTGGATTTTGCATTGGTGACCGGCTGACTAGTGATGAAGGTTGCCGGCCACCAATGATGGTCGACTGGCCATCAAAGGTGGTCTGCAGGGCACCTGTTGGCCACTGCTACCCAGTTCTCCTTACTACAACAGAGGACAAACAGAGCATATACAGGGTATTTCAAGGATTTGTTTGTATAACTCACTCATCCTTTTCATGAGCAAATCAAAGGAGTTATGAATTTGGTTCACAAACCACCAACTCAAGCAATTTCATTGCATGATGTATGAACCAAAGTGTGCAATTTCAATAAATGCAACAAAATAAGACTCTAACCTCCTCCATTTCATGAGTTGATCAAGGGAAGTGGTGACCTTAGATACTTGAATCATTTCATCACTTAATGAGTATGAAATGGCCCAAGTTTCCATGTGTTCAATTAACATCCAATTGAACACAATAAGTTATTATCTTGCACACTTTTAGTCCCAAGTTTTAATTACTCCATTTTAGTTACCTTTCCATCCTTTAATCAATTGAGTCCCAAAGGGTGAGATTAAGTCCTCTAATGGAAAGAGGGATCAAACCAAAAGTTGTTTTAGACATGAAAGAGACATCATGCGCTGGTAATGAATCCCCTAAGGGAATAAACCATCAAACATGACACCTCGACCTCATGCTCTCAACAAACAAGTAGTTTGCACCACTTTCAAAGCAAAACAAAATGTCAAGAAATGAGGGAGGTTGTAGAGATTATTAGTGTTGAAAATGGGTAAGAAAAGCATAAATAAATGTTGTCAACTCAAATGAGAAGGTGTCTAAGGCCTAGAATACCAAACTCATGAGGATTATTCCACTACAAACATGAAAAACAAAGCTCAAATGCAACCAACACCCCAAAATAGTTCTAAAATAGTTTAAAATAAGTCCTAAAACATGTTGAAATTGAGCTAAAAAAAGTCTAGATTAATATGCTAAAACATGGCACAAACTAGGTTAGTAAGCAAGATACAAGGAGGGGAGGCTAACCCCTTCAAATTTTGACTTCAAAACATGATTTTGGCCACTGAAATAACTCTAAAATTCAGTATTTAAAAGCTCAAAAAAAGGTGACAACAAGGTAGGAAACAAAAGGGTAAAGGCCTTTGAAGCTAGGTAGAAGGAATGGTGAGCCGCCCCTCAATCCTTATTGGCCCTAAACCGCAAGTTTCAACCCAAAATTTCAAAGTTTAGACAGTCCAAAACTAGTACAAAAATGTACTGGAATGAAGACAAAAGTAGCTAAAATAATAGCTAAAACATGGAACAATTTAAGCTAGTAAACAAGCCAAAGGAGGGGTGGCTAACCCTTCAATTTTTGGGACTTCAAAACCACTTTTTAGCCTCTGAAAACCTCTGAAAATCAGTGGTAAAAATTTCAAAAAGAGTTGATGAAGAGATGAGAAACACAAGTGTAAAGGC